GTGCCATTAATCACCACACACTGCTTGCTGTCTTGTAGAAAGTCTTCTATCCACGCTAAGACATTTCCCGAATTCCGTACCCTTCCAGTTAGAATTTTAGCCTTTCGTGGGGTACACTGTCGAAAGCTTTGGCAAAATCTAGGTACACATTGTCGAGATTACCACCCCGTTCCCGAGTATAGCTGCCTACTACCTACTACCTAACAACAACTCTTAGGAAACAAAATATCACCGTTTAACATAAGACTTCAAGCTTATTAGAAGAAAGGGACTGGTAACAACTATAGCACCATCACATAATGGGAACACCACAGCCGATTACAATGAACACGTGGTAACAGTACGTTATATCCACAATAATATTAAATTACGACATTCACTCAAAGGTTATTGAGGATTTACAGTTTGTATACGAAGACTATTTCTCTGTTTCCTTAATTAAATTCACCTTAGAAAAGGACGCTTTGCATCAACAGTGGATGTCAGAAGTGACAACACTTCCATTGCTAATGTCCAAAACAATTATATTTTGCATCTCCCTCTTCATTTACAAAGCTAATAACAGGTTTATAAAATTGCTGACTCTTTTGGGGTGTAAATATACCGCCAGTCTCCACAACTTACTGTTTAGTTCGAATATTTTCTTTATTTCCCTACACACTACTACTACTACTAGAAGTCTCTGAACCACATCTTCGTCAGTGTTCATGCTTATCTTATAATGCTCTAGCCTTTGAAAGGTGGCATGTAATTGCGATCCTGAATATATCTGACTGACTGGTACATATAGGGAAAGGTAAATGTACACATTTCTCAACACATCTTCACGAGTACGTGGCCAGGACTTTGCTGCTTCACTGGCACAGAGATGCATGCTTTGTGCAACACGTTTAAATATGGTAATGCCAAGCATTTGAACTTCCATTCTGCTAGTTACACAGTTAGATTCACCCGTAATGTTTAACGCCCCATCTGCAGCAGACCCAATGAAGTTGTTCAATGGTAAATCGTGTGTAGTGAGGCACTGAAACAGCATGCTATATATTTTCACCAGTCGAACCCTGATTACCTTCAAATACTCCAATCAAATCCAGCATCACGATTTTGTCATTATCTCTCCAGATCAAAATACTTCACTATCATTGCACGTGATTTACTTACTGAACAGTCGGTACATTCATCAATAATTACACTAAATTTATTTGTAGTTTCCTAACCAAGTTTTGAGTTGCACATTCCCCTAAAGCTTGCACGACGACCTTGCATCTGGTCCGTTTCGTTGCCGTTTGAGCGGCTGTCTTGGAATCGGGAACATTCGCTTATTGAGGTCAAGGTGGTCACCTAAGCTAAAAGAAATATTAAATTTATTTGGCTATACTTGCAACTGAAGATTGAGAGAACACATGCTGCTAAATGATTAAGGTTTCTGCCACCCTTACTTGGGACAAATTAACAAGACCACTTATTGAGCAGTGCCATTACATTTTGGGCTAAAACACAAGAGAAAACAAACACTAAATCACCTGAATGGCATCATGTTCTCTAGGGGGCAGGGAAAAAACACTTTTATTTGAGTTGCAGGCTGCACTTTTCAGGCATCGTTTGTATGGCTGTAACAAACACCTGTGCAAAATTTCATGCCATTTCATGCATACTTACCCTGCCGCATCGCGAACGACTTTTTGTAAACTTTTAGTGTATACCAAAAATTAGGTGTCATTTAATGTTTTCCAGGATAATGATAAATTTTACATGGGTGACATCGATTTAATTCACATGTTATTTTACAGGTACACCGTATAGAAAATCATTACAAGTTCATATTGAAATTCTTTTTTGTGTGGAACCTTGGCATCATTTTCCTAGACAATAATCTTTGCCTAATATATCCATCTCTCGATTTGTATCCAGTCACTTCAGTGCATGCTTCAGTCATCACTTTTATGCCTCTCTCGACCGCCTGAGTGCTGTTTGGCCACTTGGGCACCACTAATGGTGTCTCAAGAATGTCATTAACCTGTAGATTTGACATAGAAGCAATGTAAGGAGGCTCAGTCTTGAGTTCATTCCTCCAGTTAATCATGGAATGATAGTTTTTTGCTTGCCACTTTAGTTTTGGAGTCACCACCTTTCTCATGTTGACTACAGGAGGCACATCCTCATTCCCATCTCCATCTTTACCCTCCTCATCAGTATAGTTTAACAAATTCTCGTCAACAGCAGCATCAGAATCTTCCTCCTCCTCTTCAGATCTGCCAGTGCATTCTTCCTTTTGCTGATTCTCCTCTCTAATTTTTCTTATCATTGAGACAGCTTTTTCTCTAACAGTCATGTCCTCATCTGCACACATACCAAGAAGAAGTTGATCTGTGTGGGCGAAGTATGCATTTCTCTGGACAGCCTTCTTCACTATCGTCTCCTCCTCACTATTCAGGTGTTTCATATATAGCAGGGACTGGAATACGTTCCTTGAGCCGTGTGTTACGTAAGGGTGTATCTTGATGTAAAACCACATTGGAGCACTGAACTTTATTATTGTAATGACAATTCTTTTCAACTCATGGCTGGGTCTTGATGTTGCTACATACAGCCTGAGGATTCTACTCCATAAGGTGTTCCACCTTGACACACAGGGAGGACCTGGCTCAATAGCAGCCAAGTCATCTTCAACAACACCTGTGATAACTCCTTTACAAATCCTATACAGGTATTTCTGATCCCAGGACAGATCTTTCTCCACTTCATCATTAAACACAGGGAAATCAGGGAAACTGACTGGCTGGAAGGCGACACCTGGAAGCTCAGACAAAGACTCCTTGATCTGCTTTCCAATGGGACCACGCCAATGCTCAGGACCACTTGGTTTACCATCATAGTGATAAAAAACTGCGCGGAAAGGCAGCTCATTTCCGTGAAGCTGACATATGAAATAATGGACCGGGTGACCAAGTAACATTTCAAGATGATGAATGACTCCATTTTCTGATCCTACATTTACATTGGTTCCATCACAACCAACACACAGAATGGGCTGCTGGGTTAGATTTTTCTCCACCAGAAATAAGAGATATGAAAAAAAAGTTGATAAACACTGAACAGAACATTGCACCGCCACAGCGGCTGTTTGGCTAGTACTGTAGGTAAATTTAAAATTTTCAGTAGAAAATGCGGCAGACTAAACCTCGACATATCAGCTTCAAATTTGGCATGGAGTCTTAGATATGTATAAGGAACAATGCCTGAAGAGTGCAGCTTTGAGCAAAATTTCACTGCCCCCTACTGCCCAGTATGGGCCAATAGGTCCGATGCAGTTTCCTCCATTCTTATGTTCTTATGTTTTTATGTTATCTCTCTCCCTGCATGCAAGAGTATAGGAGCAATCAAACCATGATTGTAAAGTGAAAGTTTTGGTATAATCTGTCACAATCTGCCACTATACAATGTTGTGCTGATAGTGAACTCTAGAATAATGACAAATTACATATATTCACACTGTGGATATACACCCTGAACATGGTTTACCTTGCCTTAGCAGATGTTTACCTTTGCCCTAAACCTTGTACAGTAGGGGTATTAACCCTTTCACCTCTGGGGTGGTTTTTGCTGTGGTACCCCCCCACACAGGGGTTTTAGGAAAATCAGAAGAAAAAAATTTTTAGGTAATCTAAATTTTCCCCCAAATCAAGCAAAATTTTCTGAATAAAATGGAATACGACACAACATATGCAGTATTCAATTTAAATGTCCCACGAGGTGTCATATTTTGATGCGCCACTCTCTTAGGACTGCCAGATGTATGATGAGATAGATTCCGACTAACCTCATAATTTTACTATGTAGCACTAGCGTAGCTGGGGGTCTGCCCGGTGGCACTTTTGGGTCTGCTCATCACCCATATCTGCAGCTACTGGAGACGTTAATCCATCCCTTTGTATCGGCGGCAAGTTAATCCTTGTCGTGTCTGACCTAACACCTGACCCACATCATCACGGCCACGTCATGAGCTACACCCTTGCTATGCGCCCCCCGCCCCCCACACACACAACCTGTAACCTGTTGAGGATTAAGGAAACAACTTCAAACAAGTACGCCAGTGAGCTCATGTGGTGTGGGTCAGGTGTTAGGTCAGACACGACGAGGATTAACTTGCCGCCGATACAAAGGGAAGGATTAACGTCTCCAGTAGCTGCAAAACCATGCAGAAATAAAGATGGTCCTAATTTTTTACACTTTTTTACTTTTTTCCCTATCCTATATGTCGTTTTTGCTTTTTGTTTAACTGTTACTTATAAAGTTTAAGTATGTTTGGTGTGTATTTAAAGCATACTATATTTGAGTATGTGAAAGTACAGTAATATTATAATGGTACACAAACTATTTAATATATATATATATATATATATATATATATATATATATATATATATATATATATATATATATATATATATATATATATATATATATATATATAGATATCACAATATGTATTTTTTGTGGGGGCACGGGGGGGGGGGCAAACTCAAGGGCCGCCCCGGGCGGCACACACTCTAGGTACGCCACTGCTATGTAGGTTTCACATTTCCTTGTACAGGTGCTCCTCTACTTACGAACAAGTTACGTTCCTGAGGCTTGTTTGTAAGTCCAATTGTTTGCAAGTCCAACTTTCTCTTGTAGACACCAAACATATTATAAAAAATGAAAAGATTATGGATATTTAGTACAGCTATACCCTTTAATGCAACCTTAAAACTTAGCTCAGTCTTCTCCTCTTAGGTAATACTTGTTCTTTCTGGAATTTTCTTCAGAATAATCCAGTCTCATCCACATCAAACACCTGTTCTGGCAAGTAACCCCCTTCAGTGATGATGTTTGTAACTCTGAAAGTTTATAAGTTGAACGTTCTTAAGTAAAGGAGCACCTGTTACAAAATACACTTGATCTACAGTATACAACACTCATATGACTTACATTAAACTACACAACTGCACAACACTCACTTGAGTAAGAGACCGCCAATCCATGTTTGCACTTCCAAGGTATAAGTGCTGATTGTCAACAATCCACATCTTGGTGTGTAGCACACCTCCACCCATCAGATGATCGAAATCTAAACTTCGAACCTGAAAATATCAAATTAAATACAGTACATTAAATTTCTCTTAAAACCAGACATCATAATCGTATATTACAAAATACTGAAATATTCCACCACTTTTCTGTAACAATTCCATTATATATTTCAACAAATTTTATTCTTAATCACTGCAAATACTTGACAGATTAATTACTCTGTGAAGTGTCAAGATATTTTCAATAATCCAACAACAAACCAATTGGAAACTGTTTAAAAAACACACATTTTGCAATAGAGTACAGGTATCTCACGAGATACAAAGGGGTTAGGTTAAAAAAAAAAAAAAAACTTTCGTTAGGTGAATTTACATATCACGAATAAAAGAATATATGGGAAAAATAAGGTTCAATTCCCCAATTATATTAATAGCCCCAAAACATGAAATCGATTCACAAACAAGAAAAAAAGCTACCTAACTAATGATAAATAGCTGTAGTGCACAACTACTCTAATTTACTACCTAACACATGAAAAAATACTACAGTCTAACAATGGCACATTACCTTATGGGCGGGCAGTCTGTGCTCTTTCCCCAAGATGGCTGCACCAGCTGACTCCCGGCATGCTCATCTCAGAAAAACTGATTTCTTTCACAATTATTCTACCCTATATAAATGATGTGGCTTAGAAATGTGTGAGAAGTGAACGTGTGTAACTGGTGAGCGATAAACTACATTTCCGACTCGCCAGCCTGGTGGCCACGTTTATTGTTACTTGTAATGAAACTATAAAAGTTGTCGAAAAATCATTACTATACAATACTATAATGAGGCTTAAAAATAACTAAAATATAAAATAGAATGATAAAATAAGAAAATGAAGAGCATTGGTGTGTTTGTGTGAGAAGTGAATGTGTGTGAAGGCAATTATAAATTTTAACTTATACTTGCCAAAACATTCATTTTTGGGGGTTTTCATATTTTTTTATTTGCTCCTTTGATTCCTTAAATGATTTTGCAGATAGGGATATTGTTGAAATACCAAAAAAGTACTGTATATGCATGGCAGGAAAAATTACTAAGATGATGATGATCAGGTCGGCCCTGGGGTCCACAACCTTCCCGACCAATGGGACTGATCTGAGAAGGCCCCACTTTATTATTATTGTCAACTGATATCATAGGAGAATAAAAGAGTAGAAAGAATAGAATAGCTCAAGAGTGAGAAAGGTTATATATGTTGTGTTGTTAATAGTAAGAGAAACAATTGAGACCCTGCAATTGTGTGTAAATGAGGCAGTACATTATGCTTACAATCTCTTCCCAGGCAGTAGTACCTCCCTGTTTGGTAGCTACTACCGAAGGTGACACCAAAATCATTCTATGGGAATTTTTTCCAGGTTCGACCTAAATTTTGGCGTCTCCTACCAGACTAATAGGGAGATAAATTTGATAACCTAATGATCCTTAATGAATTCTCTGAGACATTTTAAAATAAGATATCCTTAAACAAAATATTTTGATGATATAATGATGGGAATTCCATTGTTTTATAAAAAAATTAAAAGATGCTGATACTGGAGTAAATAAAATTAGTTCCATTTAAGTTAGACGCATAATTTTTTACCTAAATAGTCCTGAATACTTCATCTAAAAGCTCGTTTAAATAAATATATTGAAGAAAAAAAATCTATTTGATATGGGTGTGAATGGAGCTGTGTGTTGCAGCAAAGACAGTGTAGTATTTTTCACGAGTCTAAACGGAACATCTCGCAGGAGCTGTATTTATTTATGCAAACACCACTATACAGTATAGTCTGGATTTACGCGGATTTTGTGAACGCGTTTGGTCATTTACGCGGCACCTTGCCAGAATGACAATTTTAAGTTACGCGGTTCATTCCATCATTTACGCGGTAAGCGGTGCTAGAGGTCCAAATGCGCCAATTATTAGTTACGCGGTACATTCTTGACCATACGCGGGAAGCGGAGCGGGGAGGGTGCGCAGTATGTCGCTGTTGCGTTATCGCTGACGTCATATGACATATCGGACTGTGATTGGGCCACGCATCCTTACCTCCCTCCCCCGCTAGCTGTGATTTGTCTAATGTAATATGATGTGCCCAACCACCGGAGGGAAGGAGCCACTGACCTAGACGGGCCAGTCTCATTGTTCTCAGTCTCCGTGTATATTGTTCTCTCTTGTGCCCGCTAATCTGTTGAACAATGGCTGCCGCTGGACCCCCACCACCCCAGAAAAACCTTGAATTACCTGGACCAAGAAGATACGACGCGCCCTAAGTTACAAAGTAAAATACAAAATCGTTCAGGAATTAGAAAAGGAAACCCGACAAGTTCATCTCGCGCGCCAGCACGGAGTTAACGAATCTACGATTCGTACAATCAAGAAGGATGCCGCCAAGATAAAAGAACACATTAGCTACTTGATTCGTCAGGCAAGAAGGAACATGGCGGTCGACACGCGGGCAGTGCAGGACTACGCCCATGAACTCTCCCAATCAACGGCGCGAAAGATGGGAATTGCAAAGCCCAAACTCTTCACTGCTTCTACTGGATGGCTGCAAGGGTTTAAAAAATGCAACAAGATCACGAACATTAACATTGTTGGTGAAAGAGCAAGTGCTGATCGTATTGCCGCCATAGATTTTCCTCCATTCTTAAGAGAAATTATGGAGGAAGGACAGTACACCGACAACCAGGTGTTCAACATGGATGAATCTGGGCTGTTTTGGAAGAAATTACCTTCCAAGGCCTTCGTTGTCAAGTCTGCCAGCAAGTGTCGGGGCTGGAAGTTGCAGAAGGAGCACATCACTGTCCTGTTCACCACCAATGCCTCCGGCATCTGTAAGCTCAAGTTGTCGGTGATCCACACAGCCCACAAGCCACACACCTACAAAAACATGGACATGAGCAAGCTAAATGTCCACTGGCTAACCGCACGTAAGGCGTGGATATTCACTGGTCTGTCACTCTCCTGGTTTGACGACTGTTTCGTTCGTGACGTTAAGAAATTCTGTGAGCAACATAATGTTCCATTTAACATTTTACTCGCCGCTATTGTTGGATCGTCACCCCAGTGTAAAAGTGGTCTTCCTTCCTCCCAACACTACGTCGTTAATCCAGCCCATGGACCAGGAGTTGATATGCAACGTGAAGGCTGCTTTCTCCGCAAAGAAATTTAAGTTCCTAAACGACTTCAACAACACCAATGATGAGTTGTGGAACCTTCTGAGTGGCACAGATAGCAAGAGCGAGGACGAGCATCCAGAAGAAGAGTTGGCGGAGCATGAAGTGAGAGTAAAACAGTTTTGGAAGCTGTTTAACGTCAAGAAAGCGTTGATTTCTTGGTGGAGGCATGGGGGCAGCTGTCTGTGGCAACGATTCGTCACGCGTGGCGGAATGTGTTGCAAGGTATCCCAGGTGGGAGGCAGAGGCAACCTGAAACTGGTGAGGCTCAGTCTGTTGCAGTGGTAGTGGACCTTGCAAGAGAGGCTGCACAAAGTGTTACAGCTGCAGGCTTCTCCGAGACCACCAACGACGATATCCTGGAGGTAATCAGGGAACCTGAGGTGACTGCCGACGAGATGTTGGAAGATGATGACGTCAGTGAGGAGGCAGGTGGTGCGGCAGAACGAGAACAACAGAAGTTAACTCATGGTGATGTAAAGGAAGCCATCGAGTATGCTGAGAGACTCAAGCTCATAGTGTCCAAATACCCAGTAAATCACCGATATGAAGACTCTAATAACCATCTGTTGCAAACTATGGAGCCGTATATCCAGAGGTATCACGACCACATCAACGCTAGCCGTCAGCGTAACATCACCGAGTTCTTCACCCGCAACCCACCACAACCACAGCCAGCCCAAGTCAGTGATAGTGACAGTGATGGTGACTTTGAGGGGTTTGTCAGGGAGGCCCTGACATCTGTGGTGGATAGTGATACAAGTGATTCACCTGAGGGCCACTAATCTCCCCTCTGCCTCGGAACCAGCCCCCATCCCCGTGTGCCCAGCCATCTCTTTTACTAACGTAAGTGTTAAACCTTGATTTTTCTTTTACCAGGTACAGTATGTTATTCTCTAATTGATATTTCTCTTCTATATTATGAGTGTTTCCATACCATCATAAAGTTAAGATACTATTTTTACTACAACGAACGTATTGTATCGGAAAAAGGGTAGTCTGGGCCCAGTCTCTATATCAATTAATCCCATATGTTCTGTTATTTCGTTTACGCGTTTCTCGTTTTACGCAGACCTCCACTGGTTTAATTGACAGCGTAAATCAAGACTATACTGTATTGTACACTTACAATATTGTTCATACTATAAACAAAATAATGTATACTACTGTACTACTATACTGTATACAGTGGTCCCTCTGTTAAAAACGGTTCGGTTAACAAAATTTCGGTTAACTAATTACCTTCCATAAGAATCTTCAATTCGGTTAATGAACAAATTTTGATTAATGAAATCCTTACGACAACATGTTTTGGCTTGCGCATCAGCTGAGAGGCTAGTCCGCCAATACAGTAATCGGTTCTAGGCTTACATTCGTTTCCATTGGAGTAAATATCAAGAAGGTTGTGCTCTTTAATATTTTTGCATGTTTTATATTAAAATTATTAGTCATTTATTTAAAATAATTGATAATATATGCAGTACAAGGAACTAGTTTTTGGTGCGCCCATCAGCCACCTCACTCACCCACCAAAGCGTCTGTTTAACTCTCTGTACAGTGGAGGAAACATCTTGCTTGTGGGTCTCTTGAACACAGAGCATTTTTACATTTTTACAGTACAATTATTGTTCATTCTGAAATATATTTAACATATTGATAATATATAGTGCAGTGCAGTGTTGACTTAAATAAAATAACCTTTAATTACAGCTAGTGAACTTAAAATTTTAGTGGTGAAAATACTGTATTGAATCCAGCATCAGTCCAAAGAAATCTAGAAAGGCGATTTCAATTCAAGTGAAAAAGGAAATCATTAAGAAACATGACGAAGGCATTAGAA